AGAAATAAAGACTGTCTATTTTTAACAATAGAAATATTTTAGAACTTTGAATTAAGATACTTAAATCTTCATATTGGTAAATAATATTTTTTACAATAAGATCCATGGTAACACATTGTAAATACGTGAGTAATATCTTAGTAACTTGAATTTTCTTACCAATATAAATATTAGTACTACGTATTATATTTTGTAAGATAACTAAATTATAGACAAAAAGAAAGAAAAAAACCAAAGTAAATATTAGTATTACATTTTGTAAGATAACTACATTATAAACAAAAAAAAAAAGAAAAAAAAAAGACCCCTTATTAGAATTTGGCTTTAGGCCACGAATTTTATTGAGACGTCCTTGATACTTTTAAAAGAGGAAGAATGCATAAGAAAGGACTATGGAAAGTGAAAACTCCGTATCGTCTACGCCTATAGTCTGTATTCAGAGTGTCAGCAATTTGTTTTATTTAGTGTATTGTACGCGATTCGTGGATATTTCAACTTTTCTCTTTGCAGAAACATAACATTTGGTGCTGCCAAATGCCAATGATGACTCCGACAAATTGATGGATGGCTCCAAAATTATAGTTATAGTCTCTTGATATTAACATCAAGATTTCTGTGTGAAGAATAACTCGAACATTTGAAATACATAGTTTCATCTTTGGGATATACTTGTAGACAATAAATTGCGTCGAAAAAAATAAAATCAAGACCAAAAAATATCGTAACAATCGTAGAATTTTATTTTGAATATTTGAGTGCACAATCTCTATTATTCCTCTGATTCTACTTTTCTTGTATAAATTCAAGGGCCTTTGAGCTTGATCTTGAATTTGAATTTGATTTATCCGTCGCGAACACTTTGATTGTTGCCACGAAATTTATCATGAACAAGTAGCCTTGATCTTGAACGCCTTGTATTTGATTTGACTTCATTCTTGATCTTGAGTTTGAATATTTGAACTTGAACTTGCTTTGTTCCTCGTTCTTGAGCCCGAACTTGATTTGTTCTTCGTTCTTGAGCTTAAACTTGATTGCTTGAAGCTTGAAACTTGTGGAGGAATTTGCAGCGTTTGATCCACGACTTCTTGTTATAGCTTCTGGTGTCTTTTCTGAGTTATGAAGACCCCTATTTATAGTTGTGGAAGGGAGGAGTTGTGATAAGAACAAACTCTTTCCGACCAATCAAATTGAAGTGTGACATTGTCGCATTTGATTGGCCAGAACATGTCACTTGCACACGTGGCGCGATTTCATTGTCCTTTTAGTGTGACTGGGCATGCCTTATCATTTTGACATGTGGCATGGTCCTATTGGCTCTTACGCTCGACTTGGCGCGCCATGTCATTTGACACGTGGAAACAAACTGGGCCTCTAGGAAGATGTCATCTTGGCTTAATGAAGTGGGCTCATCACTTTAGCCCAATTAAATGGGCTAGCCCAATGGATTAAGACTTATTTATTTAAGGGGTTTTGACACAGTTACCCACAAAAACAGAATTATTTACCCTTGTCTACCCATTTATTTTTCTACCCATAAACTAATTACATTTCCTACCCATAGTAGGTTTTGTGGGGAATTTTTTCTTTATTCTCCAATTCTTTTTTATTTCTATGCTTCTTTTCTTTTCTTTTTTCTTTTTTCTTTTTTTTTCTTTTCTTCTTATTTTTTTCTTTTTCCTTTTCTAATTTCATTTAACTTTTTTTTTTATTCTTTTTCTCTTCATAGTTCAATTCATTTACTGTTTTCACTATTTTTATTATTCTTTTTTTTTTAAAATATTATTACTAAAAAAAAATCAAATCGTGTACCAATTAAATTTAGCTAATACAACCAAAAAAATATTAACTAATATATGATAACAGTATAATATATAGCTATACCAATATGGTATAGAATTGTACGCAAAGAGTTAAAAATAATTTAACTCAATTATTAAACTAAAATAATATTAGTTGTCAATAAAAATTTTAAAAAATTCTAAAAGGAACTAATTGTAAGAGTATATCGTTACATTATATATCATTATAATATTTTATTTTTTTGCATTTTCAATTTGCCCCTCATGCTGGGTAAAAGCTTAAAGCAAATTAAAAGGGAAAAGACAAGTGAATTTACGTGTAATAAGTATACTATTATAGTACATGTATACTATTACAGCATACTGTTACATTATATTGCATATTAATACAGTATACTATAATAATATATCGTATACTATAATAGTATACTGTTGCAGTATAACTATATACTCCTATAGTATATTGTATATTGTAGCGGTATATTGTTAGGTAACTGTGTTCTTTTTCGATTATTACAATATATTGTTGCACTATATTTTAAGCTATAATAGTATACTATTCAGTATAGCTATATACTCCTACAACATATTGTATACCGTAGCGGTATACTGTAGCTGTGTTTTTCGATTTTCAACTAAAAATTTCAATCTCAATCACCTCAAATCAGCTCCAAATGCTATCAAATTTCACTATAAACTTCTAGAAGGTACTATAAGCAATATTTAATAACACCCACTTTGAATATGGTTAAGGTAATAAACAATAATTACAATTTGTATAACTTTCTAACTTTTCGTTAGTCAATGCAGTAGTAGATAATCCTAATTGACTCATAAATGAATTTATTTCTAACTCAATTCACAAGAACATACANAAATCATTAAAATTTAAAAAAAAAAAAAAAAAACTTTTTCAAGTGAAAAGGTATTTAAAAATTAGAGTTGTGTTTGGACATCAATATAATTTTGGTTGTTTTTGAATTTTTGTAAATGATTTGAGTGAAAATTTTAAAAAACAGTTTTTTGGAATTTTTCAAAAATTCTAAAATTATATTCAAGTGAAAATTAAAATTTTTTTAGCCAAACATTAATTTGAAAAAAAGTAAATTTTTTCTGAGGAAAAGGAAAAAAAAAAATCATGGCCAAACAGACTCTTAACTTTCATTCCGAGATTTGCCAAAAGTGAACAAAATTGGAAGAAGAAAAAGAAAAATATAGGGTGTAAATTGTAGAATAGCCAAAAAAGGGGGTGGGGAAGGCAATCAAATCGTGAAAAATTAAAGATGAAATGCAGGAGAGATGCATTCCGCATTAAAATGTGGTAGACGGGACTGACCCATAACTGGACGATAGAAGAAAAAAGATTTGTGCCTGGGCATTAAAGGGTAAATAGTTTAGGATTAATAGGTATAAAGTGAGATTTTTTCTTTATTTAATCCATACACGTAGGACTTATATAATTATGAGAAATTTTTATAAAGCACTATCTTTTAGTAGTAATTAGCCATCTATAGATACCATTTGTTATATTACAGATTATATATACCTTTTATGTGGTTATAAGATGTATTTGATGTATTGTAGCTATTGTATTCATGAATACAGTAGCAAAAATAGGCATGAATCAGGGAAGTCCAGCTAATCAGTTGTTGTATTCGAGTATATTCTACTGTATTCATGGAGTGAAACATGGGATTACAGCTGGACAGATTATTGTGTTCAACTGTATTCACGGCGTGAAATAGGGGATTACACTATTTTTAAAACGGAAAGTGAATCAATTAACATAATAGACTCCTAATATAACTCAACAAATTCAATTATAACACACAAAATTTGTATTTTCAGTTATAAAAAAGATTCTCAACCAAAAAAATACTCCAAAAATATAGCAATCTTCAGAGAAATTATATAATACATCTGAATACATAAATTATATTAATTAAAAAGAACTTATGAATACATTTATGGCATATAGTGAGACAGTGAATACGATGAAATACATAGAATACAACGGGATACATTGAAATACAATTGAAAAAAAGACAGAGAATACAATAAAATACATGGAATACAGTGAGACACATTGAATTACAATGAGAAAAAAAAGACAATGAATACAATGAAAATCATGAAAATACAGCGTAATATGTTGAAATTACATTGAAATATATTAAAAGAAATGTTCTTCTTCATCGCGAAAGAAAGAAATCGTCACTTATTGGATCTCCGAAACCGAATCCTCTTTCCATGACTGCCGCCATCTCCTCGTTGGACTTGACGTTGAGTGGCGGCCCAGTTTCCACCGCAACCAGCAATTCAAAGTTGCAACTCTCCAGCTCTGCGTTGAGCACCGTTGCCTCATATTCCAACTCCTCTACTGCAGTTCAATTTCAGAAGAAGACAAAGCAAAAAGAAAGAAAAAAAGTTGGATGTCGCCGGAAGATGAGAAAAATAGGAAGTTAAAGAAAGGGCAGTTGTAGAATCCTTTAAAGAGGGTCTTAAAGAGGTTTTTCGGCGACCGGAAAACCAACCAAGAACGGCGGCGGAAGGATGGGAACGCTGGTGTAACTAATTTTAATTTTAGTGGGATGGGAAAGAGAATGGGATGCATCAAAGTAGAGAGAGAAAGAAAATAGTGTATATGATTAGCGTATTTAGTGACTTAGGGCTAGGAGGTAACCAAAATTAAATATTTTGCTATAAACCTTAAAAGGTATCTATAGAATATAATTTTTTTAAATGGTGTTTATTTAAAATAAATAAGGTGTTAACCTTTGCTGTAGGAGGTAAAAATTCCATAATAGCCCATAATATTTATTTGGATTAGTATATTTAAAATATAATCCAAGTTATTTATTGAATTTGAATTCAATAAATTTTACGTGCCTACAATACTAATATAATAAATTACTTAAATCCACACCAATATGGTATCACATATCATAAATATCCTATTCGGGTCACTTCATGTGCGAGAATACAAACCATAAGAAAACGACAGTCATAACCATTTTAATTAAAACAGTATAGATCAAGTACTACTTCATAAGGATTGCACCAACTCCATATGCAAGATAAATATGTCTTAAATTAGACTCAATGACACTAGCTAATATTCAAACAAAAGTTTTACTAACAGAAAGGTAATGGTATTGGTAAAAGTTAAGCCAATTCAACAATTCCTATAGCCTAATGACTGACATATAGTATAAAATTGGATAACTATCTCCAGCCCCACTATTGTTTATTTACAGTCCTATTCCTTTTCAACCAAAGAGACACTAGCAATCACATAATACTGCAAGCATTAGCATTTTCATCACTGAAAATCTCAGAAGCCTGAATTGCAGAGTACATGTCCATGTACGGATACCCATAGTGAACCTGCATTCCATTATTATCCATCTGCCCCCCCTTGTTGTTGTCGCCGCCTTGCCCATCCTTCCCTTTTCCATTCCCGCCGCTGCTGCCGTCTTTCTTCTCTCCCCCTTCCTTCTTCGGCGGCACAATTACAACATCTTTTTTTAGCTGCCTCTTTAATTCCTCCACCAATTCCTTCATATCCATTGAACCTGTCACTGTCACCAAGTCCTTTTCCATGTCCATTTTCATCTCCTTGTAACCTGCAATTCATATTGGCCGTCAACAATAGTGTGGAGATTACATATAAAAACTACTCCTGTTAAAATAGACGGAACAAGAAGGAATAATGTTCAATACTAATCTCACCTTTGTTTTTAGTGATAACTTTCTGTATCTTTTGGATACATCCTTCACAGTGTAGGTGTATCTTCAGTACCGCAGTGGTAACTGGAGGCTACAATGGATGAATAATTAATTTAGTAATATTCAAAGTTTCTCAGAAACGAAGAACGCTATTGACAAATATCCATTAGGCTGAAGCTTATTCCCAGTATATTCAATATCGATCGGAAAACCACCACTTGCCATGTTTCGCTAAATTGCGCTGTAAGCGCACGTAAATTTGAAATATACTGGGAATTGAATAATGACAACGAGTCGTACCATAAAACGCTAAATTGCGCCAAAGGCATAACAAGACAAATTAAAGAGAAAAGAAGCAGCATGCAACAGAATGAAAACGACGTACGCAAACAGAGAGGTGCAGAATCAGGGAGCAGATAGAATATGCAGTGTGAGAGTAGCCAATACCTCTTTCTCTTTGGGTTTCTGCTTCTTATCTTCACCATTTTTTCCAGGGACTTTCTCTTTCTTGCAGTCCTTAGGCAACGGAGAGACAAGCTGAACTGCCTTGTTCGTCTTCCGCTCAACCTTCTCCTTTAGCTTCAGTGGATCCACTTTCCCGATTACCGTCACCTTGTTGGCTTCGCCGTCACAAGTCACCTTCTCCACACCTTTAATTTTACTCGTAAGAAACCAGATATTAAGAATGAATGAATACTACATTCAGAGACAAGGAAACAAAAGCAAAAACAGAGCGGAAAATTGAAGAAGCAAATCAGATTCACAACTCACAACAATCAATATGTCTGAAATCCAAGTTGACGGCAAAAACAGAGCAAGATATAACAATGACGAAGAAGAAGAACAAGCAGTACAATTTATAAAACAGGGGAAACAAAAAAACGAAGAATATTAGAGAAATTTAAAGGAATAATCATGCATTATACCTTCAAAACTTCGAACGGCTTTGATAATCTTAAGGGTGCAACCATCGCAGTGAAAATCAACTTTCAAAACCACGGTCAAGTTGCCTCCTTCCTTCTTCTGCTGCTCTTGGCTCTTCATCTTTCCTTCATTCTTTTCTCCTTCCTTCTTCTGCTGCTTGTCGCTCTTCATCTCTCCTTCATTTTGCTTGTTCTTATGTCAATAACATCATTTTCAGTCAATCGCTTAAATAAAAATGTGAGAAATAATCGAGAACGGTGGAATAATGGAGAACCAATTTCATGTCTTACCTTACGCATTGTGCCCAAAATCACTCCTGTTGAGAATCAATTTGGAAACAGAGAAGAAAACCCAAGTCTAGTACTAGTGATTTTATAAGGGGGCTAGCTAGTGTGAAAATCAACAAGGGGTAGTTGTACGGGAAGAGAGTGGAATCGTAATGTACGGATGTGATAATGGCGTAGCCGCGTTGGCATACAGGACATATAAAAATATGTACAGTTTATGAATGCATAAGAAATCAAAATCAATAGGCTAAATCAGGAATTTCACTATAAGTTAGTAATACTCGTAATTAATTTCTTTTGCACAATCAAATCTTCAAAAAAAAAAAAACTACAGATAATTGTGTATAATAAATGAAATTATTAATACGAAAAATTGTTTGACCAAAAGATGTCAAAACCTTTTCGATTAAAACAATTGATAATAATGATGAGGTCAATCTTAGTCAAGCACAATAAAATCTAGATCAAATGATGGAAGGAGTAAACAAGATGAATGATATAACGAGTCTATTCAAATCGAATAAATGCTCATAAATGTGAAGACTTAAATGCACGATAGAACCGTCACAGATGCAAGCAGTGTAAGGGAGAATAAATGTGAGATGATTGGGGAATCTTAGGATCTCCTCTGATGAACAAGATTGCTTTTGCATTCAATCTCAGATGATTCTTTTACAAAGTGTTCTTTTATCTTTTTTCCTCTCCCCCCTCTTCTTTATTACTTACCCTTCTTATTTATAAGGGACCATCTCCCAAAAACCCTAAAAAGTACAACATAGAGAATATTCGAAAAGCATATTCTTACTGTCTCTCACTAAATTTACACTGTCGTGGACGTTATGCATCGACTGACCGCCCTCAGTCGTACCTTTCACCACGACGACCATCAGACGGTGCATCATGATAACCTCGTTCCTCATCCTACTCGGTAATGGTCGTGGTTGCCAAATTTGGACCCATACAGTTAGTCCCTCCGCTTGTTGAGGTCGCGGCCCCGTGCGTCCTTGATAAGCGGACGTCGCCTATACCCGCGGAGAAATTTGGCGGTTAGATCGTAACGGTTTGATCAATAACGAAAGAGCGACGCAATCTACGGTATTCCGGATAGTGCAGCATATTGGGAAATGACGTCACTCTCACGTGCGTCATCATTGCGCGTCTTCCCGAGGTAGAGACCAATTGGCTTGTCGCTTCGATTTTGGTGCCACTGGCAGCCTTTTGCTTCGATTCTGGCGCCATCCAAACCTTATAAATAGATGAAGGTTTGGTTCTTTCAAAAACTTTCGATCATTTCCTTTCTAGTGTATGTGTTATCTTCTTTGGCCATCTCTTCTCGTATCTTTAGCTCTACTTTCGTGATTTTTCTCTTCACCTTCTTCCGTTCATCGTTCTTTGTTTTATCAATATACCCTCTGCTATCGAGATGCTTAGAACACATCATTCCCACAAAGAGATTTCTGATGCTACCCCGCTTTCCATAGCACTTCCCCCTGGTGGTGAGGATGTGGCGGTAGAGGAAGGGGACAACCTTCCCACCATGGAGGAGATACTACCGAGAAACCCCATGTCTCGGAATGATTTCCTTAAAGAGCCTGTTCCTTCTCCTGCTCCGGTGATTTCTGAGACTGAGCAGGCTCACATAGATGACCTTCGATCTATGTATAACATTCCTTCCCATGTCGAGATGGTTCCGGCCGGGAGGGACTTCGCAGATGTCCACAGATCGGGATATTATGCCTTTTATATATACCCCTTTGTGATCGGCTATTCTTTCCCTNTCATGACATGATTGTTCGGGATGAGATCTCCTCCTGACCCGTCTATCACCTTGTGGACGAGCCCTCCAATGGGGACGAATCTTTATCGAGAAAAAGGAGGAGGGTAGAACTTGGGAAGAAAGTTGCCACTGATGCTGGAATGAGCAGAACTGGTGCGTCGGAGACGGCACCGGTGCCTGTTTTTATGGCGGATGCCATTTTGGCTAGAAGGTCTCCCCGGACCGAAGGAATATACCAAGGAGGGGGATCTGCACGCTCTACCGAGGGCGGAGCATCATCTGCTATTGGAGGAGGCGTACACGCCGAGGGTGACGGCTCGGGTTCGGACATTGACCCTGAAGATGTACAAGAGTTCTTGGAGTGTCACACTCGTGTAGAAGTGCGGGCGGAGGGTTCTGATCGACACATAGTCATCCCTAGAGACTACGACTTGTTGTCGAACTGTGATCAGGTGGCGTCGGTGTTTGCCCCTTTGTGCTCTTCTCCTGAGAGCGCGACACTTAAGGCGATGAGTGATGCAGAGTTGTCACAGAGCGTTTCCGGCATGGCTCTACAGGTAAAAAAGCTTCTCTCTTTTATTTTTGTTGTCGGATCCATTTTTGTATCCTTAGCCTATTTCTTTGTTTTAACTTTGCTTTTCATACTAGACCCTTATCATGGAGATCGAGCGTGAACGTAGGAAAGGTGGAGGACGCCGTCNAGGACCGCCGAACGTATTTTTGTAAAGGTCGTGGTTTATGAGGCTGTACCTGGCCGCTTGTATTCGAAGCTTTTTGGCTTCTTTTTTATCTTGCGGGAGTGTTCCCTCCTGCAAATATAATATGATGCGGTTGCGCCAACCCCAAGTTAAATTTACAGAATGTACCTCGACTTGGTCTATTGATGAGTGGAGGAGGGTGACCACGTTCTCCTTGGTGATATTTTTAGTTGCTACTGCCAGCTTGGCGAGATCGTCTGATTCGATGTTTTGCGCCTGTGGTATTTGGTCGAGTCGGCATTCGTTGAATTCTGGTACCAGCTTGTGGATTTCGGTCTGGTATTTTTGTAGCCTCTGCTCCTTGATCTGGAAAGTCCCAGTAACTTGGTTTACGACAAGTTGAGAGTCGCAGCGGAGGATGACTCGTCGTGCACCATATTTGAGGGACAATTTTAATCCTGCAATTACGGCCTCATACTCGGCCTAATTGTTAGTCATTTCAGGGCACCGTATGGATTGGCGAATCACTTCGCCCGTTGCGACTTCGAGTAGAGTCCCAATCCAGATCCCGACGCGTTGGATGCACCATCGATGTAGAGGACCCAAAGGTTGGGTCGCCCAGGGGAGGCATGAAGCGCTTCTTGCTCGACCTCAAACAGTATTTTCGCACTGAAGTCAGCGACAAAGTCGGTGAGTACTTGTGATTTTATCGCAGTTCGCGGTTGATATGTTATATCGTGCTCTCTCAATTCTATGGCCCATTTGGCCAACCTACCCGACAACTCGGGTTTGTGCAGGATGCTCCTGAGGGGAAAAGTCGTCACCACCTTTATGGGGTGATAATGAAAATGTGGTCTAAGCTTACGTGAAGCTACGACCAGCGCCAGAGCCAATTTTTCAAGGTGGGGATACCTCGTTTCGGCGTCCTAAAGTTTTGCTGATATAGTAAATCGGAGATTGCGTACCTTTGTTTTCACGGACCAAAACATCGCTCACCGCGACTTCGGAGATGGCTAGGTAGACAAGGAGGCATTCGCCTGGATCTACCTTGGCGAGTAACAGTGGTGAGGACAAGTAGGTTTTCAGTTTTCTCAGGGCGTCGACACACTCTGAATTCCACTGGAGCCTGTTATCTTTCTTCATCACACTGAAAAATTTATGACACCTGTCTGACGACCGTGAGATGAACCTCGACAGGGCGTCTATCCGACCTGTCAGTTTTTGTACCTGTTTTTTGCTGGTTAACATTTCCGGTATTCTTTCGATGGCCTTAATCTAATTTGGGTTGACCTCGATGCCTCTTTGCGATACTAGGAAACCGAGGAATTTGCCCGAGGTTACGCCAAAGGCGTATTTTTCGGGGTTTAGTTTCATACCATACTGCCTTAATATGTCGAAGGCTTCCTTCAGATGATCGATATGATCTTCTTTCCTTTTTGACTTAACCAGCATGTCGTCGATGTAGACTTCCATTATTTTGCCGAGTTGGTCTTTGAACATCTTGGTGACCAATCTCTGGTACGTCGCCCCTGCATTCTTTAGTCCGAACAACATGACCTTATAGTAGTACGTTCCTTGGTGAGTGATGAATGTGGTTTTCTCCTGGTCTTCTTCCTCCATGAGGATCTGGTTGTAACCCGAGTAGGCATCTAAGAAGCTTAGCAACTCATGTCCTGCTGTTGCGTCGATGAGTTGGCCGATGTGTGGCAATGGAAAGGAGTCTTTTGGGCATGCCTTGTTTAGGTCTGTGAAATCTACACACATCCGCCACTTTACATTTTTCTTCTTTACCATGACTACATTGGTGACCCACTAGGGATATTTTGACTCTCGGACGGAGCCATTTGCGAGCAACTTATCGACTTCTTAGCTGATGGCTTCGTTGATTGCGATGTTGAACTTCTTTATTGTTTGCCGCACTGGCGGGTAGAGGGGGTCAACATCCAGTTTATGCGTGGCGATATCTTTCGGGATACCTGGCATATCTTCATGGGAGAAGGAAAACAGATCGACATTGTCAGTTAAGAATTTACGAAACTTACCTGGTTCCGAGAGGTTGTGCCCGATATAAGCCTTTTTGTGTGTTGTTATTGTCCGTTTAGTAGGATGGGATCGAGATCCTCTATTGTCGACTCGGATGCTTCCATGATGTCGGGGTCCTTGATAACGTCTGCCCGTACGTCAAGTTTGGTTCCCGACATCGCTGATTGCTATGCTTCTGCACTTGCCCCTTTTAGTTGTTGGGTGTGGGCGCAATCCTGGGCGATGCGATAACATTCCTATGCGGTGCGTTGTTTGCCCCGGATGCTGAACACCCCCATGGAGTAGGAAACTTGATTACTTGATAGAGACTGGACGGGACTGCTCGCATGGCGTGTATCCGCGGGCGCCCTATGATAGCGTAGGTTGTTTCTTGGTCCATGGCGTGAAATGTCATTTCCAGGGTGACTCCTTCGGCTAGGACGGGTAGCACTATCTCTCCAGAAGTCTGCTCGACTGCATTATTAAAACCTGTTAGTGTTATGCAACGCAAAATTATTTTATCTTCGAGTCTCATCTGTACGAGGACTCGAGGATAGATAATACACGCGCCG